GTATGTATTTCAAAGCAACTCTTTATAAATGGTATTAAATCAAACAAAATTTCAAATTAGAATGATAAAATTTTAAATAAAATATTAATTCTGGAAAACACTAGTGGAATTAATCTCACAATTATCTTAAGGATTATTCATGAGTTCCCATGATTTAAATTGAAGTACATAATGGAAACACTTGAAAGATTTTATAATAGGATAACACTGTGACTTGTAATACTATAACTAATTGAATAGTCTTAGAAGCTAGGTTCCACATGTCTTAAATTTTTCTCATTAGTAAAGAATGAATACAGTTAACTATAGTTAATTTTTTTAGTAAGCAAAAAAATGTAATATAATGCAATAATTATAAATTATGACATAAGGGAAGGTGGGAAAGAATTGCAACATGGAACCCTGGAAGCACATCTATGACACTTAAGTAAATTTCAACATGGGGAATATACATTTTCATAGAAATAGTTACAAAATACAAATATTATGGTTGCTCTCATCATGAAGATTTTGGTCTTTCATAAAGGATTCCTTATGGTCTATAGATGAAATGATGGCAGGTACTAAATCTGACTTTTCTTTTTTTCTGCCTGGAGAAGCCAAAACTTCCCACTGCCTAACGGAATCATATTTAGGTATATCTGAGATATCATCTATGTGGATGATCAAGTACAGGAGGTCATTTAAATGAAAGCAGACAACACTGAAAGTCAGAAACATTATGCCGGGTAATCTGTTTATGAGAAAGAAATTACTTATATTTTATAGGAAATTCAATGTAACAAACATCAATTATGAAGCTATAATGTGTAATATATTATGCTAACACCCCTGAGGCTACAAAGATGGAAAAAGAATAGCATATAGAAAAATTCCTAAAATTTTAGGATTTCAAATTTTCCTTTGTGACACATTCAGGATAGTTTTGGTGTATTATACAGAATCTTCAACACTGTTGGTTCTAAGTGGTCATTTTTGGGGGGTATGAGGGACTTGACTTGTGGTTTTACAGACATTAGGAATTTCTGCTGAGAAAAAACCTTTTTAAATAAAAATGGACACCTTGCTCTGAAACTTCTGGCCTTCTGAGCCCTGAGAGCTCTGGAGCACTGAAAGGTGGAGACTCGCCTCAGGCCACACAGCTAATAGGTGATTGAGGTCTACTTTGAACATAGGTGTTCCTGATTCTGAGACTAGTTCTCTGTCCACTCCTCCATGCTGCCTCTCAAGTGGTCAATGGCAACATAAATTCATCTTGGCTAATACTAAACTTATTTGTCTCATTATTCAGTGGTTCCCTTCCCTTCCTTTTCACCCCCATTGGGATGGAAAAGTCTATAGACAAGTTAATGTTATTGAATGAAAACGCTTTTCTGTCTGTAAGAGGGAGAGATATGATGATGGTGATGAGGCAGCTACTGTTGCTGCTAATGACAGCAACTCACATTTATATAGAATTTTCAGCTTTATAAAGTGTTTCTGTAATAATCCTATAATGTAGGTAGTGCACATATTGTTATACCAACTTTACTGAAGAGGAATCTGAAACACAGAGAAATAAGTACTAGCCTATAGTCACATAGCTAGTACTCAAAATATGGGAGCTAGAATTAAAGTTGAGCTTTCTATATCCTGATGCCAGATTCTAACTCTGTTTCACACGGCAAAAAATTAGAAAGTTGGGCAATAGAAAAACAGAATCTAGAAACGGTTAAAGAATCTGTAGCTAGTTGTAACTCATGACAGGGAAGGTTCTTTTGACCTACTGCACATAATTTCAAGCTTGCTTGCTTGAGCCATCATTCCTCTATCCATCCATCTATCTAATTTATCTATCTACTTACTTATTTACATATTCATTTATTAATTTATTTTCTTTATTATCTATTCATTCACTTATTTACTTACTTATCTATTATCTATTGTTTCCATGATAGGCTAAGAGGGACGTCTATTCTTTTCATAATGGACACTATTGGCTAATAACAAAAAAGTGTGTGTACATATTCATGTACATATGCATATAGGCATACATACACAATACATGTATGCAAGCTTAGTTTAGAGTCCTCATCAGGATCAGTTAACTTGGGTCTCATCCCTACCTATGAAGTATACCTTTAGATTAATATCAGCTGAAAATTTTGTCAGTAGGTGTGACTCCTCACAAAGTAAATGACAAAGTGATTTCTTCTGTGAATTTTGATCTTTGACCATAACATCAGGACAGCAAGGAATAAGGACAACAGGAGCTCCTTGATGAAACGACACTATTATACCCTTTTATTTATACCCCTGTATCTGATATTTAATTAAGGTTATCTGTGTTTTTCATACCAGTTGCCTATATCTAAAATAAAATTTCCTTAATAGCTTTTGATAACACTTAAAATTCAAAGAAGATACCTGAAGCAGATAATTGAATTGACTTGCATTTAAGTGGAAAGGTATATAATATGGACCCAGCAAGAGATTGTATATCCACCATGGGAAGACCAGCCTGATACAGGCTTACCACCAGAAATAATTTGTATACTACATCATAATTTTAACAAAACATGTTACATCATAATTCTATCTTGGTCACAACAATTCATGAAGACTGTTAAGTAAGTTATTTATGTTTTTTAAAATATACAGAGTTTTGAGCTTTGTCTTTGGGGGGAATATTTACACAAAAGAAACTGTGTATCACTCAAAGAAGTGTTGTGTACAAAATACAGTAAAGATACAGGTTTAACATTCTAGTCCTGTCCTAGAAAATAAGTGGAGAATGCATTTTTCTCATTCTTTGTCCTGGAAAAAATAATTATCTGAGGTGGTCCATTTGTTTCTGTGAATGCTTCCAGACTCTATGTTCAAATATGCTATTTCTAAATATATGCATAGGCTTAGAAGTTGGATACATATTTAACACATAAAAAGTATTGTTTTTGCCATTCAGGTTATAATTATTCAGGATGAGGCTGTGGTGATTTTGCTTCTCACTACAAAATAAGGTGAACTGCACCTGTTATTCTTTTGTAATATTTGCATACTGGTGCAAATATTGCACTAATCTTAAGCAATTTTTTAAAAGTTTTTTATTTTGGTTTAAAGTATTGATATAGTAAATCATGTTATATAAAAAAGTGGATTTAAATTATGTTTCTTATTTGGCCTATTGCTTTCAACACAATACCACCACAATATATACATATTTTGGAGGCAATCAGGGTTAAGTGACTTGCCCAGGGTTACACAGCTAGTGTTTGAGACTGGATTTGAACTCAGGTCCTTCTGACTGTAGGACCAGTATTTTATCCACTTAGATGCCTCAGCCTACAAGATTTTAAAGTGGATAGTTGCATTGAATTCCCTGAAATAATAAGAGCTGTACAACCCTTTAAGGTTGTATTTTCTAATGGCTAGAAGTCCAACATCTTGTTGTGTAAAGGAATGGAACATCACAGAAGGTCCTCTAACAGTCCAAAATACTGTCTTTATAAACATACTTTGAGAAATATCAATCACTACAAACTGTATACAATTGGAACAAAAACAATGGCAACCAGAAAAAAATCTCCAACATAGTAAGTGAATAAAAACTCTCTACCTATCTGTGAGTTTTACCATCCCAACAAGTGCTTGTCTAAACCATCTCTATTTTGGATGCAGTGAATACCAAATTGCTATGAAGCATGAGAATTAGGAGCCACGAAATACCCAAATATAATGCAAAAATACATTGTTTTTACATTTTCACCTAGAAAATAAAACTGTTTAAAACAAATATGGTCAACTACATAGGAGTCACATTATCCTTCTATTAAAGAAAATTGTTAAGGCATTTATGTTATCTAGTTAGTTGGTCATTATGACATTTTCCCTTAATATACCTTTAAGTAATTTCCTTTTTAAATTGCCTATGTTGCTTTGTGATGACTTACCAAAGATCTTTAATAAAACACTGGATCAACATTCTTTTATTTGGATACCCTTCCAGGCTATTACTCTCTTGGAACAAAGTCAAACTGGCCTTCTTAACCACACAAGTCACTCTTTTCCCTTTCTTTGTGTCTGCCTCTATACCTGGTAATGTACCCTTCTTCACTACTATGTCTTAGATTCAATTCTTAGTTTCCTTTAAGGCTCAACTCAAGCACCACCACCACAACAAAAAAATGCATGCTGTTCATTCCAGCTAGAATGCAAACTCCAAGGGCAGGAACTTTCACTTTTGTCTTTGTATACCTAAGTCACAATAAATATTGTTAACTGACTGATTAAAGATATTCTTCTAGGGGCAGATAGGTGGTATAATTAATAGAGCTCAGCTCTTGGAGTCAGGAGGACCTGAGTTCAAATCTGGTCTCAGACACTTGACATTTACTAGCTGTGTGACCCTGGGCAAGTCACTTAACCCTGACTGCCTCACCAAAAAGCAGAAAAAAAAAAAGATGTTCTTCTAGACAGAGATGTGCTTGTTAAATATTTAAGAACCAGTTCTCAAAAAAAAAAGCAACTAAGACACCCTTTTGAGTTTAATCAGCATTATTAACATTTTCTCCTTTCACATACTTAGTTATAAACAATCTACAAAACAATAAACCGAGTCCTGATTTGGAACATTTGCTAATCTCTGACCTATAAATACTCACACTACAAATTTAATAATAGATTTTCTGGAGATAGTACAAACATAGCTGTGCCAGAATTTTAAGATCATAAGGACATATTGGCATTATTTGTTCAAATGGAGAATGAATCAGTTACTTAGTAATAAATAAACATATCCAATTAGATGTAGGCTGGTAATCATTAAGAACCTTTGGCAGCACAGGGAGAAAACTAGTCTTGGGAAGCTGGAAGGTGCTTCTCCAGTGAAATTACAAACCAGATACCTGCCACAATGAAAACTCCTTCTTCCCTGTTGCAGGCTCAGAGGCAATGAGACACCAGTCAAATTTTATTGAATGGAGAGAATCTTACAATGTAGCTCTTGTATTCACCAGACTCACCTTAGGCACCCAGTGGCATTACGCAGCACCTGTGAAGAATGGAGCTGTATTTTCCGATCATCCTGGAGTGGTGAATTTTCCCATCCAGAGTGAGGGATGATGACTGCATTGGTCAACACTGCAAGGGCATCCTGGATAATTGGCATTTTAAGTGCATCACATGAAGAAAGATTCCAAAGGACTCCTACAAAATAGAAATTAAAAACAGCATTTTTAATGACCATTGGTTTTCTTGCTTTAAAACTGTTTCTTCTCTTACTGTTGTTGATAAAATTGTCAGAGAAATACAAGTTAGTGCATGCAGGTGCAAGTTTCTCCTTTAAGACTGTGCCCCTTAACTTCCATTAAAAGATAAAAAAGGAATTCAGTTTAGAGCATCTCTGCACGCCCTCAGAAATAGGGCTGTCAAAATCTGACAACTAGAAAGAGAGTTTGTAATTTAGTTATCTGTGTTTTATAATAGAAAGTAACCAGAGTTGGAAGAACTGATTAGGTACAAAATGTTGAATAGGTTTCCATCTACTGAAAATGCAAGGGAGAGAATCTCCCAAATTTAAACCAATCTTATGTAAGGAAGCAGATTGGCAGAGTTACTCCACATGTGACCCACCATTCCTACCTTGATAACCCATCTATTATAGCCTATCCAATTTGCTCTTGATTCTATATTAAACAAATCATGAAAATAAGGCCAATCTACATGCAGGGATGCAAAAGGAAATTGGGGAATATAATAAGAATAAACCAGTAGACCTAATGAATTAGATACCACAGTTGATTTAATAGGAAAAAGGATATGTTACCTATTCTGTCTATCTCTTTGCTTATCTTGGAAAGTGGAGGAAATGCAACCTAGATTGCTGCAGGCAGACACTTACGCCTTATTTGCCTAATGATTACAGGAAGCAACAGAAATGGCATGGGAATGTACTTGTATTTACTAACATGGTTGAGAGTTTCATATATACATACATACACATACATATATATACATATACATATACATATACATATATATATATACTTGCTTTAATTCAGGCTAAGAGAATTAAATATTTTTTTCCATTTCTGTAAAGAAAATTCTCAACTTCAGCACTTAACAATTTTCTTAATATTTATGGAATCGCAGAACTCAATACTGGAAGGGACTTAAGAGATCTAGTCTAATTCTCATATTACAGCTGAGGAAGACTTGTGATTTTTCTTGTGACTATTAATATATGCAAAATAGCATATATTTCTTTTGAGCATATTGATTCTTGATATTTTTTGTTAAATACAAAGGAAACAACCCCAAAGAAACTGAATTATAAGATCCTTGAGTGCAGTGACCATGCCTTATGTATTCCTATGTTTCTCATAACTCCTAAATTAAAGGAATGAAGGCGAAGAGGAAGAGAAGTGGGGGTAGGGGAAGAATTCTTGTACGAAGTCCTTCAGAGGGTACCACCTCATACCTAGCAGACTAGATAATATAACAGAAAAGCAAATTACATGTTGGAGGGGATGTAGAAAAATTGGGACACTAAGGCACTGTTGGTAAAGTTGTGAACTGATTCAATAATGCTGGAGAATAATTTGAAACTATGCCCAAAAGATTATAAAACTGTGTATAACTTTTGACTCAGTAAAACCACTACTAGGCCTGTATTTTAAAGAGATCAAAGAAAAAGCAATAGGACCTGTGTGTATAAAAATATTTATAGCAGCTCTTTTCATGGTGGCAAAGAACTGGAAAATTGAAAATTGCCCATCTATTGGTGAATGACTGAACAAGTTGTGTTATATGATTGTGATGGAATACTATTATGCTATAAGAAATGATGAGCAGGATGCTTTCAGAAAAACCTGGAAAGACTAACATGAATTGATGAAATGAGCAGAATCAAGAGAATATTGTACACAGTAACAGTGATGATCAACTGTGAATGACTTAGTTATTCCCAGCAATACAATGATCCAAGACCATTCCAAATGACTTATGGTGAAAAACACTATCCACCTCCAGAGAAAGAACTGATGGAGTCTGAATGCATATCAAAGAACACTTTAAAAAAAAACAACTTTTTTTTTGGCCTGTGTTTTCTTTTGTAATACTGCTAATATGGAAACATGTTTTGCATGACTACACATGTAAAATTTCTATCAAATTGCTTGCCTTCTTGAGGAGTGTGGAGGGGAGGAAGGGAAGGAGAGAATTTGGAACTTGAAATTTAAAAAAAGGTTAAAATTGTTTTTACATGTAATTTACATGTAATTGTCCCTCAGACAAATCTCTCTTTGAGATTGGAATTTTACATTAAAAGGGGGGATCAAGTTCCAGGAGAAAAAATGTTCCTATTTTGGAGAGAAAAAAAAATCTTTTTTTTAACCAAAGAAGAAGTCAGTAAAATTTAAATAAAATAAATAATTAAACTGGATACCTATACTCCTCTGGACTCTGACAAAAACAAAACATTTTCATAGTTGTTAGCTATGAAGACTAACCAATAATTAAGGTAAATTTTCATATACATTTATCTACATAGTATGTAAGTATGTACTATATACTTGCATTATTATATTTGGTTAAATAATAATCATGGTTCTTGCAAAATGAAATTGGCAACAATTCCCAACTCTGAAACAAGATATTTAGAAGAAATATATAAATTTAAATTAATTTGTGTATATTCTATTTTATAATTCTTCTTACAATGTGGAGTTCATATGTATATACTACATATACATACATTTACAGTTTAGAAAATGCTTTCCTTACAACAAACCTGTGAGGAAGCTAATATAAATAGTAACCTCCCCCCTTTTTTTTTAACAAACGAGGAAACTACAAAATCAGATAAATGAAATGACTTACCCCTAACTAGTGAGTGGCAGAGCCAAGATTTATGAACTCAGATGATCATAAATTTCAAGCTAAAAATGACTGTGAGGTCATGTAACCCAAATATCTCTTTTTTTTTGTAGATGAGGAGACTGGGGCTAAGAGAGGTTAAATGACTTGTCCAAGTAACACTACTCTAGTGTTCTTTCCACTACATTATAATGACTCTAATTGCAAGGAACATTTTAAAATGATTTTAATTTTTATCCCAGTATCCCTCAGGCTCCTAAAATATAATTGTGCAACATCAAGAAATATGAGGTTAATGCCATCCTTTGGCTGTAACTATTATGTACATAGACAAATAGTTTTCAAATCTCTCTCTTCCAACTCCAAGTGATTTTCCCTTGCATATAGTCACCTTAGCAGTCTTCTGGGACTTCAAACTCAACACCACTAAAACTGAATGATTATCATGTCTCTTAAACTTACCCTACCCTTCAAGGTCTCCATCTATAATAATTGCATATCATACTCTAAGGTCTTCTTTCCAAGGTATCTAGTTCCACAAATTCAATACCATACTCCTTGCAAGGCTCCAAACTTTCTCTGTTCCTTATCCCCCCCAGTTCAATAATTCTACCTCTATGATATTTCCTGAGTCCAGTCCCTCTATAACATTCCCACTGTAATCCTTTTTATGAAGGTCCCTATTTCATCTTGCCTATGTTATTGGACTAACTTCTAACAGGTCTTCTTGGCTCTGTTGTTTCTATCCAGCTTCTAAATTTGTATCCAAGAAATCATTCTAATACGCTTGTCTGATTATATTACTCTTCTACTAAAAAAGCTTTGGCCACTTCCTAAAGTCTATCAAGTTTCTTAGAATTGCATTCAGGGTCCTTTACCTTACCTTTTCTGTCTATTCTCCCACACATTGCTATATTCTAGCCAAACTGGACTGCTTTCCCTGTCCTGTTCTTATCTTTCCTTCTTCCATTAATGTGACTTTGCTTACACCAACACTGATCTTGAATGTCTCTGAAAAATGCCATCTCCACCTAGTGAAGACCCTTCCTTTTTTCAGCTTAGTATCCCTTTTCCCACATAGCCTTCCCAGAATTCCTTTTTGAAAAGAACCTATTCACCCCTCAAATTGCTCATAGCATTCTGCCTGGGATTACTCTGCTCCAATCATATTTTACCTTTCATCGCATTTTCCTTTGCACATGCCATTCTCCTATTAGGTAGTTAGCTTTTTAAAGGCAGTGATGTATTGTTTTTGTCTTTCTATTGCTAGCACCTAGCAAAGCACTATTACAGGTTACTTAGTGAATTGAGCATAATTCAACAATATGGACTGGGCAGTGGATGGAGGAAGAAAAGTGGTTTTTTAAAATTTTTTTTAAAAAAAACTGTTTCAAAGAATTAAAGCTTCCTTAAGAAGCAGGAAGAATGTAAGATGTGCAGGAGACAAGAAAGGATGGGATCAATGGGAAGAAACAGAAGTACTAGCTCTGGCTTTAAAGGCAGCTTCTGGTACAGTGGATAGACTGCTGGGCCTGGAGTCAGGAAGACCTGAGTTAGAATCCAGTCTCAGATACTAGCTGTGTGGCCCTAGGCAAGTCATTTAACTTCTGTCTCAGTTTCCTTAGCTGTAAAATGGGGACAATAATAGCAGTTGCCTGCCAGGGTTGCTGGGAGTAACAATAGATATATTATTTGTAAAGTAAATTAGCACAATGCCTTGCAAATAGTAGGTGCTTAATAAATAACTTATTTTATCCCTTTCTTCTTGCCTTCCTCCCCTTCTTCCTCTCTTCCTTCTTTCCTTAGATATTATCTCTGCTAAATATGCACGATAAAGTACAAATATCTTTCAACACTGGTTATCCCTGCTTCCTTTTCTAAACCCAACTTCAAAAGTTCTGCATCTAGAGCCAAGTGATTATTGATGTTTCAAAGCTGATTAAAAAAAAATAGATTTGTTGCTACCAAAATATATTTACTTGAAAAATAAGACTGTCGGGAACAGAAAAAGTACTTCAATTTTCATGTGACATACTTAAAAAAAGATCTCAACATTCTCTATAAAAACCAAGCAAATTTAAAAATAAATATTATGAGGAATAGGCAGTGGTAATGGAGAAATAAGGCAAATGGAAATTGAATGCTTTATCTCAGAGGAGATAAGGGCGATTGGAATAAATAATGATACAATCCTGGATTTTCTTTACTCCTTGTTTAATATGCTTTCTCTTAAAAAATTATTTCATCTTAATTGTACAATCTAATTCAGAAGCCATGTAGAAATTTTTTTGGTTCAGATTCAATTGACCTTTACAGGCTAGTTGCCTGTG